TTTTTGCATGAAAGATTATGAACGTACAATATCTGTGAAATAAAGTATCTGTAGGTTAATAATTCAGAAGTTTTTATAATTAAAACTACAGTTTAAATTTTTATGACTTAGTTTTTATATCCAGTATTGGCAAACTTGCCTATTTTTGTTTACTAAAATAAACCCATTTTCAGAAAATTTGCCTTTTTTTAAAATTTCTAGACATCATGATCACCATGGGTTTTGCACGAGATGAAATAAATGACGCCTTAATAAATCAGAAATATGATGAAGTTATGGCTACCTATATTCTTCTAGGCAGAAAACCACCTGAAGTAAGTTTTTCAACTTTTTAAATTAATGTGAATCTTTTCTTTAGCTACGTGGCAGCTAAATATAAGATGTAATGCTAGTAAATATGTTCTATTCTTTATGGCATCGAAAATAATGTAAAGACCCTAACATTCTTATTTGTTGGAATTAAAAAAAATCAAGATGCTAAATTATGAACCGATTTCATTTGTGGGTTCCAAGAAAGATTTTATGAGAAAGCAGACCTGTCACCTTGCTTAGCTCCAAGAGGCAGGCGCCATTCACAGCCTAGTCAGGAGAGAATGGTGTCCCCCAGACTTGTGCAGGGCAGCTTGTGCATCCAAATGCAACAGCCCTGCGAAAGGTAGTGTGGTTATTCTGGGTGTGCAGAAAAGACAGTGCCTGAAACATGAGGAAGTGACAGCATTTAAAACAAAATGTATGTTTTGAATGATTTATATAAGAGGTAACCTACGGAAAGGTTGTTTGGTGATATTTTCCCTTGTAGTGTCAAGAGGCTTTGTTACATTCAATTGGGAATTCTCAAGGCCAGAGGAGATCTATAATAAGGAGATAGATTAAGGAAATAACTGTATACACATGGGGAACCATGAAAGCAAACGGTCCTTTAAGAAAGCAAATATTGAGGGTATAAATTGAGAGTTAAGGACAGAGCCCAGAGCATTGTCAGTGTATTGGAAATTAGACATCTGTGGTAGGCATTTTATAGAAAATTGAAGTTATTTATAATCAAATAGTAACTGTTAGTGAAGCAGTACATTCCAGCTGACATTTATTGAACCAGAAACTATGCTAGGTACTGTGACCAGAAAGATGAGAAAGTCTTTGCTCTCAAGGAGCCCTTGGTCTAGAACGGAGATGATTAGTCGATAATATGGTAGAGTGTGGCGTGTGCTCTGATTGGGGGGATGGACGCGATACTGGGTACCTGCAACAGGCTGATGTCAGACCCACTTTGGTGTGTGACATGTAAGAGACAGAATTAACGGTAGTACTTGGTGACCGGTTGGAATTAAGGGGTAAGAGCCCCTCAGATTTCTAGCATAGATGACCGTGTAAGTATGTTTGCCAAGATAGGAAAGGTGCAGATTTCAGGGGGAAGACAACAAGTTCAATTTGGGTTGAATTTGAGATTCCTGTTGGACAGCACTGTCTAGTAGACATTTGGATATAAAGACCTGGATTTGGAGGGAGAGATTTGCGTAGAATTAATAGATCTGGAGTCGTCATCAGAGGGGCACACGCTGTACACGGTAGTGTGCCAGGAACTGTTCTCGGGACTTTACAGGTACTAATTAGTCTAATCCTCTCAATGAAGCCACCAGGTGGGTATTATTATAATGGAAGAGAGGAGCCTTCAGTAGAGACACTAATAGCTAGATATGTGGTATCAAGGAAGCCAAGTCAAGAGAATTTTAAGTGTGAAATAGAATAAATGGTTATTTCTAAAGGTTTTGAACTGTTTCTACTTAGATTTTAAATTTTACTCTTAAGATCTTTAGTTTTCCTCCTAATTTAAATATAAAGCAAGCATGAATTTTACAAGTATACAGCAGAGCCCACGCATGAATTAAAGTACGAATTATATTGAATATAAACTAATGGGGCTACTGCAACTATTAAGACCTGAACTTTGGGGCAAGGTTCACTGGATTTGAATCCCCACCCCAGCACAGCCACTAACTATGCAACTTAGGCAGTTTACTTAATTTTCTGTGCCTCAGTTTCCTTATCTATAAAATGAGGATAATAATAGTACTTATCTTTTAGGTTCATTGAGAGGGTTAAATGAATTAATACTTGTAAAGTCCTTAGAATAGTTCTGAGCAGATTACCATGTGCTCTGTGTTACCTATTATCTATTATAATGATCATCAGTCTTATTCTGCTCTTTGTCATTAGTGTCCTCTATATATGAATTTAGATTTCCCATTGGATGCCAGTGATTCAGTCAAAAGTTTGCTGGCAACAAATGGTGTTGCAGGGAGGGAGGGGCGTATCAACCCCAATTGACTGTGCTTAGTTCCAAGTAGATGTAATTTCCTGATCAGAGCCAATAAACCAAAAATTGTTTTTGTAAATGTGGAGAAAATAAACAACAATATATATATACATGCGGTATATGTGCATATGTATGTGTATAGACATATGTATGTGTATTTAAGATTTTAGATTTTATCCTAAGTTTGAATCTCAACAATATCCCTTGACTCTGTTAGCCTCAGTTTTTCCATCTATAAAGTGCAGGTTAATACATCATAGGTTTGTTGTAATGAGTAAACAAAGTAATATACATAAAGAGCTTAGCATCATGCCTAGTATATAATAACTATTCAGTAATTGGTAGCTGTTACTTGGCGTTTGACCAAACTATGGATTTATACACAATAGCAGACAATTACGAGTACACTTTGATGTTCTCTCCCTTCCTGCCTGCCACCTTGAAGTTCTGTGTCCAAAACCACACTGTTTTAGTTCTGATTACTCCTTATATAGCTTTGAAGTGTTCAGACAATCAAGAAAATATGTTATTTGTATAAACTTTTTGTGTTTTAAAATCCTGATCGTCTTTCTTTATCTTACAGTTTGAAGGCGGTGAGTCATTATCCAGTGGAAACTTGAGTCAGAGATCCCGGCCCAGTAGTGACTTAAACAACAGCACTCTTCAGTCCCCTGCTCACCTGAAGGTCCAGCGAAGCATTTCAGCAAATCAGAAGCAGCGGCGTTTCAGTGATCATGGTGGGGGAAACAGTCAAATCAGTGAAAAGACACACTGGTTCTACCCAAACCTATGTTTTTTGAACATCATACGTTCATACCTCTGTGTGCTCGTGTCGTCTGGTTCTCACGGATTTATATTACTTTGCAGGGACTGATCCGATTTTTTAATCAAACAGTTTAATCTTTGTTCAGAGCATAAAACATGCAAATACAGATAAGTTTAGTACAGGGCTTTTGTTTGTGAGAAGAAAATATATCAGTTTTTCAGCTAATAATACTATTTTTTAAAAAATTGTAGCTGGTCCATCCATTCCTCCTGCTGTATCATATACGAAAAGACCTCAGGCTAACAGCGTGGAAAGTGAACAGAAAGAGGAGTGGGACAAAGATGTGGCTCGAAAACTTGGCAGCACAACAGTTGGATCAAAAAGCGAGATGACCGCCAGCCCTCTTGTGGGGCCAGAGAGGAAAAAATCTTCAACTATTCCAAGTGTGAGTAAATATTCTGGTATATTGCAATTTGTTGTCTTTATTGGTTTTCAGAGTTTTTTGTAAAACCTTTATTTTTTTTTTTAAATGTTTCGAAATCTTTAAATGAATCAATTTAAAAAACACACAAAGAGGGGGGCGAGCTTCTCATAAATGCAATTTAAGAACAAAAGAAAATAAGAATTCTTAAAATAACGCTTAACTTCACCACAAAATGGAACATGAAACTTTCCTGCTTCATTTTTTCCCATTTGTAATATTTGCTTAAAATTACATTAGCACATTTAGCCTTACATTTACAAATAAGCTCTTTATTGAAGGCAGACTCAGCTAATAATTAGTTTATAAAGTTACCTCACATAATTCACTTAAAACAGCAAATTATAGAAATTATATAAAGGGAGCTAGAAGATGAGATGCCGTGCTGTAAGACAGTAGGAAAGAATAGAGATGGCAAATACAAAAGAAAACTAAGATATGTGAAGACTAGGAATAGAATCAGCAACGTTCAGAAAATAGGTATTTTGAAAGGAAAGGAGACAAACTGAAGGGGAGGAAATAATTGAATAAATAATAACAATAAATAAAGGAAGAGGGAAGACTTCATATCGAAACAACTCAGAATAGCAAACAGAAGCTAGAAGGAAAACCTGTTCCTGGACTCATTAAAGTGGAATGTATAGACACCAAAAACTAATCCAAAAACTTTTAAAAGATTCCAAAGTGAGGAACAAGATTCAGACTGACCTCAGGTTTCTTAACAGCAACATGGATGTGGAAGATAAATATTGAAAGAAAAGCACTTTGATTTATCTAGCTAAATTGTCATTTAAATGTGAAGGTATTATAACGTATTCTTAGGCATCTTCCTGACTACTGGCCCAGTACTGGCCAGTACTGACTGACATTGTGGCCCACAAATCCCAAAGTGTTCACCGTCTGACTCTTTACAGAAAAAGTTTGCTAACCCCTGCTTTAAAGCCAAAATACACAACTTTAGTACCTTTTTTGAGGTAATCTCTCAGGTAGAAGGAACTTGAGCATTTACAACTTAAGCTCTGTTGTATTGTAAATTATTGACTGAACACATGAACATTTTTACCGGTGACTCTATTATTTGTCAGTAAAATGGAGTATAATGGAAAATACCTAATCCATTCAAATGGTCTGACATGGCTCCTTACTTTCTAATGGAAAAAGAAATAATATCCATAACTTTCATAGATAATTTAGTAGGTGATAGTTTAGTAGTACATTCATTATCTATAAGATCAGAAGGTTTTTTTAATTCAATAGTAAAGCCTCTTGCTTATAAGTATGATTCTGTGACAGTATTATTTCACATTAGTCTAGTATATTGACTAAGGATGGTATTGTCAGATAATATTTAAAACTAACCAATTGATAAGACAGCAGTGGGGAGAGTCTTGAGTTAAATAGTTAAATAGATTAATGGTTAAGAGAAATTTTTGGTTAATTATCTGAATCATCTGTTTCATTATTCATCACGCATAACCATCCACAGGCTATAAATGATAGGAGTGTATCTTAGCCCTTTGTGTTGCTATAAGAGAATGCCACAGACTGGATACTTCATAAAGAAAAGAAATTTATTTCCCATAGTTCTGGACGTTGGGTAGTCTAATATCAAGGTGCTAGCATCTGGCGTGGGCCTTTTTGATGTGTCATCCCATAGCAGAAAGGCAAGAGGTCAAGAGAGCCTGCACCAGGGAGCAAGAGGGGGCCAAACTGGCTTTTATAACAAAGCCACTCTTGAGATAGCTAACCCACTACCACAGTAACCATCCATGCAGACAGAGCCCTCATCAGCTAATCACCTCTAGTGGAGCACACCTCCCAACACTGTCGCATTAGGGATTGAGTTTCCAACACAGGAACGTTGGGAGACACAGTCAAACCATAGCAGAGTGTTACTATTTGTAAGGGAACTTAGGATTTTCCTTCTAGAAATTCCCATTCAAAAATTACACGTGGGAATTAGTAGAAAACCCTTGGTTAGCCAAGAAACTTGGAAGAATAAAAATACGTTATGCTGTTTTTTAATCAAGAAGTCAATAAAACTTGTGAATGTACTTTCCGTATTATCTATCATATGTATGAACAATACATAATGTAAAATGATGTGAACTGCTATGATCTGAATGTTTTTGTCCCTTCCAAAATTCACATGTTGAAATCTTAATCCCAAAGGTGATGGTATTAGAAGTTGGGGCCTTTAGGGATTGATGAGGTCATGAGGGCAGAGCTCTCACAGATGGGATTAGTGCCCTTCTCAGAGAGGCCTGAGGGAACTCACTCTGCCCTCTGTTGTGTGAGATTACAGCAAAAAGACAACCGTCTAGGAAGCAGACCCTCACCAGATGCTGAATCTCCTAGCATCTTGATCTCCCAGCGTCCAGAACGGTGAACAACAAATTTCTGTTGTTTATAAGCCACCCAGTCTGTGGTACTTTGTTATGGCAGCCCAAATGGACTAAGACATGAACTCTAAGAAAAATATTAATCAACTTTTTTACAAAATGAGAAGAAGAGTTTACTTCTTTTAGGGAGACTCAGATTAAAAATACTATAATAATTATAAAATATTATATAAAAACTATATAATTATAGAAATATAATTGCTTTACTGTAAAAGAAGCCCAAAGAAGTTGTTTATATGTTTGGCTTCCACTTTGGGGAAGTTGCCAAACTAGAATTCAAGGGTAGTTTCCACCTGGTCCCCAAATCCTCAACAGAATGAGCATTACCTGCTCAGCAGTCACTAGAGTTTTGTTACTTGAACTAGGAAGATCAACTATAAAAGTGGGTTTTTTGTAGGAACCTGTGTCAAATGGAATTGGTGAGCCTGTGCTTCCATAGCTTAACTTTTACATATCCTAAGTTTACCTGGGGAAATACAACTTAGGTACTTAATTTGTAATTTATGCTTTTTTTATGTAACTGGTGACAAGAGTCATTCCTCCTAGGAACTTGCACTGTACAATTTTGTGTATATGATTTTTTTCCTTCTCCAAACTGAATTCACGCAAATGTCATCTTTCTGGCCCTCATGATTAAACAAATTTTAGGTTAATTATGTATTTTAAAGAACAGTGAAAGCTGGATTAGCCAAAACTAGGGATTTTTTTTTTTTCTGTTGAAGTAAGGATTAGACAGAAGAGTATTTTATCCCTTTTGAAAATGATTCCTGAATATTTTATTGCTGGTAACAAGATTTGGGCAGGCACAACAACAGGGGTTATAGGTCAAGGGTTGAAGTGTGTGGAAAGGAGAATCACCCATCTATCTATTCCTTTTTGCTTATTTTTTTCTCTTTTCTCCAAGGCTCTTCAGAGTTGGCCTGCCTTTTGGCTAAAACCTGAGTGACACTAGAGGAAATATCCTCAGAGTGGCACTGCACATACCTCTGTTGGTGGCCTCAGCTGGGCATGCCTTTGATCCTGGAGCTTTTAGTCTCCTTACTGTTCCCATTGGTGGTGGGGGGAGTCCCACAGGCTTCCGAGTAGGGTGCTGCCTTCACGCCACAGACTCCTGTTGGTGATGAGACTCAGTGTGAGGTGGACTATAGCTCCCAGGGACATACGGCTGCCTGTAGCCCTGCTGTGCCCTTTGCCTACCACCAGCTCACAAAAGAGAGAGTGAATAGAAACCCAGCTTTCTTGTTGCTTCCAAACTGCTGGCTGCTGCTGTAAGAGAGTAAGCTAAACCTCCTAAAACTGTTTTTTATGCTTTGTCTTTTACTTCTGAAATCTAAATAAGAGAGAAAGAGAGGCAGGACATAGATCTTATTAATGTAAGATTCTGATCAATTAAAATTCTACAAAGCCAATTTAAATTCATTTCTTTGGCTTTCCCCAAATATAGTTAGAATTTTAAATTTTCTTCTTCCCTCTTAAAGAACAATGTGTATCCTGGAGGTAGCATGGCAAGAAGGAATACCTATGTTTGTGAAAGGACCACGGATCGATACATGGCATTACAGAATGGAAAAGACAACAGGTAAAAGTTGTGATACCTTTGCTATTGTTCTGTTAGTGCTCTTACTGAAACAACTGCAAATGAATGGGTCAAGAGAAAAGGAAATATAAAGTAATAAGATTGCAACCAACCATTCTTACTAAGACATCTCCCCTTCTGTACCAGCATGGAAGGATGGGAAAATATTTAGGGAAATCAGGAGGTGAATTTCTTCCCCTGTGAATTTCTGAGTAAAATCTGATAGTAAATATTTCCCTATAATAAAGGAGGTCAAACCATCCTAATCTGATCTTTATAATGTGAATCTTATTCTCTTATATACCTGCTGCCTCCTCCTTCCCTCCTTCCCTCCTTCCCTGTCCCCCTCCCATCAAGTAATTATTGTATCTAAACAATAAAGGCTTTATTTTCCTTCCTCTAAAGAAATGTGGCCATCTCAACTGATCATTCAGGACCACACAATTCTTAAAGTGTTTTCTTTCAAATGATAATAAATCATATTACTTTTATTATTTAAAAAATTTAAGTTCTTTCCATCGTGAGTTAGAAGGACTGCTCATCAATACCGTACAAAGACATGGAGTCTATTCTAATAAAATCCTGTTCTTAGTACTAGCTCCAGTCATTTCAGGAGAGTGAACAGACCACTCTTACAGTTTGTTCCTTCTCAATTAACAGGCATGTAAAGTAAGTGTCGTTGTAAGGCATACAAAGATAAATGTTGTATCTTCCTTGGACATAACATCTTTTAGGCTAGAAAAATAACTAGAAATTGATTTCAGACTTATGATTTTTTTTCTATATTAAATCCTAATCTGCAGTTCCTTTAATATGCAACAGTTAACCTGTTGACTCACGATCTAAAAGCATTTTGATGATGGTTCCAGGGATAATATTTTTTGAATAATTATGAATTCTTATTGTATGAACAATGGACGATGAACTGCAATGAACACATCATACAAACTGATTTTTGGGTAGCGAAAAGTGTCTCCAGTTATTATCATTTTATCTGAAACTGTCATGCAACCACAAAAATAATTTTATACCTTCTCACATTCACATACAGAGAGCGTGTGTGAGATCTTTTTCATAGAAGATAGTGATAAATCTACCCTGTACACATTTAGCAAGAATACTAATTGTTTTATTAGTCACTAATAATGCCACTAATGTTACTTTCTTTTAAGTGTTTCAGTCATGAAGGGTGTCAGTCAATTTAGATTTTTTAAAATCTAGTTCTTAAATTTTAGTAAACTGTGGTTTTTCTTCTTTTGTTATATCTCCATGGTCTTCTCAACTGCTCTGTGTCGAAAGCCTTACAGAGATGTCTGTGAGTAGCGTGTCTTCTGCAGGCTCTGCTGTGCCCTCAGCACGACCCCGCCACCAGAAGTCCATGTCCACTTCTGGTCACCCTATTAAAGTCACACTGCCAACCATTAAAGACGGCTCTGAAGCTTATCGGCCTGGGTAATGCGTTGGTTACATTTCATATTGTTTGTTAAGAATTTTAAAAGCTGTAGCACCATGTGAAAATGATAGTCACCAACACAGTAAGAGCTTTCTGAAAAGATGCAGTGTTTGCGACAGAGAAAAAGTTGAATTGTAACATGAGCTTCCTATGTACTTTAGCTGTTATTGAAAATATTGCTTATAATTTAAATCATTTTCTAGAGGAATTTTTTTAAAGATTTGATTTTAAATCAAGTAAAGTATTACTGCCTAATATGTTATTTAGGTAAATTGAATTTTGTATGATTTCAATACACACAAAAAAAAACCACTAGACTGGAGTTGAAACCCCTGGGTAATTGTCCTGGCTCAGTTACTTGTTCTTAATAAAACTGGGCTTTAGTTTTCCTGTCAGTGAAACAGATGAACTCAAAGAGCCTGTTCAGGTATAAAATTATATATAGTATTTGTTGTCTATTTTACGATTTCTGAAGTTCAGAACATCTGAACGTTTTAGCCCTTTGATAGACTTGTTAGCCATATTGGTAGTGTCATGGAGCATATTGTGCTATCACCAATGCCTAGATTGGAAATAGGAAATGATTTTATTCAAAGGCTTTTTAATAAACAGTAAAATCTGTGTTCCACATTGTGACATGGTTTAAATTGAAAGTAGTAAAAAAATATGTGTAGTATCCCTGGTTTGGCATTCCTCTTACTGCAAAGCATTTGTCTTTGTTTCCTTGTTTCAGTAATATCTTAATCTTTGGTGACCAAATTTTTATAAAAGACATTTAGTTTCAAACTGAAATTTTATCCCTCTGCAATGATAATAAATAAAATTAACCCATATCTCACATTTCTAATGTGAACAAATAAAATAGGACCGAAAGAAGTAGCCATAACCTTTTTTTTCCAGTTTTTAGCATGATCGAAAGCTTTTCCTGTCCTATTCTAAATAATATATCTTAATTTGTCCCAGCAGTGCAACCCAGAGAGTGCCTGCTGCTTCCCCATCTGCTCACAGTATCAGTGCTAGCACTCCAGACCGGACCCGCTTTCCCCGAGGGAGTTCAAGCCGAAGCACTTTCCATGGTGAACAGCTCCGGGAGCGACGCAGCGCAGCTTATAATGGGCCACCTGCTTCACCGTCCCATGAAACGGGTGCATTTGCACATGCCAGAAGGGGAACGTCAACTGGTATAATAAGCAAAATCACATCCAAATTTGTTCGCAGGTCAGTACCACTATACTGCCATGTTTTGTTTCGTCTGTGAATTATAAAGGAAACTTGATTTTTTCCTTGAATCTTTTTAGTGATTTTCCAAAGTGGTTTCATGACATTTCATTAGAGCTGCTCTTTCACAGAGTTGGAAGAAAAAAAATCCAGGAAGACACAAACTCTTTTTCCTAAAGAGAGAGAAACAAAAAAAAATGGACTAAATAAGAATTTTTAAATTCTGTAAAATAAAGTGGAAAGAGCAAAACTTGACATCAAAAATGTATTTTAACAAAAAAGATTATTTCATATTTAGAAGCCTCGATTTAGAAAAAGTAATTAAATATGAGCTTACATGTGTCCTTCAAATATTTATCTTGAAAATACTTTTCAGTTGTTCACCAATAACATAGTTTACCTTTTTTCTTCTTTGTATAAAAAGCCTACATACTAGATTCACATAGATTACTCATATAATTTTACGTCATAAAATCTTAACATCAAAACATAGTAAACACAAAATGAATACATGTATAGTGAAGTTCTAATCTAATAAAACAGCACAATTGTACCCTTTTCTCAATAGTGAGCGTATATGTGCAGTGCCCAGCAATGATACAAGTTGCTGAACACAGTGCAGGTTGATGTAAATTTGACCAATTACTGTGTCCCACTAAATGCCTACTTAAGCCCCGTCACGTACAAAGCAGTTTGTTAGGTGCAGAGCAGGATATAAAGATGGGTAAGACGGCATCTGTGCCCTCCAGATTCTTACCATCCTGGAAGAAGCAGACATGTAAACAACTGGCCGTGACATAAAGCAGAATGTGTGCTAAAAAAGAAGTGTGGGCAACACGCTGAAGGAGTTCAGGGGAAGGCACAGTAGTTCCTGTCGAAGGGGGAAAGTGAAGGCTCCATATCATATAGCTGTTTGAGCTGAGTCTTCACTGATGAGTAAGAAATTATTATACTTGCTTTAAAGAATATTAATTAAATACTTAATTTCCAGTGTTATTGGTGTTCCTTGGATTTCAAAGAGTAGATGTGGAAAAGAGAAGAAGCAGCTTTAGTCTCGTGCCTTTTCATGGAGCTATTTATAGACTGGGTTCACAGATCAGTTTGCCCAGGATTACAGAACTGAATTTAAAACTTTAAATCCTCAAATGTAACATTAGTTTCTAACCATGTCAATAAATGAGTTTGTACCCTTTGGGCAATTACTCTGCAACATGACAATTTGATAAACAAAGCTAGCGGAGCTTTGTTGGAGTCAGCGTGAAAGTTACATGATAATGTTAGTTGACCGACTGCAGGAGACTCGTCAGATTATCAGTAGTTTCCCCTTTGGGAATTTGGCTGACGAAGGCCGTTTCGGAAAGCCAGTACTTTCTTGTGGTTAAGCCAGGATTAGTTTTAAAATGAAGAAAAATAGGTTTTGAATTTAATGCTTGATTACTAATTGTGCATTAAGCATTCTGCAAAATATTTCTCTTTACCTTGCAATAAAAAATTAGATTCTAAAGGAAACTTAGTAAAGAGTACTCTGGACAAGAAGTCAAGAAACAGAATGTCAGAGCAAGAAAGTGCCTTAGAGATGGTGTGTTGGGAGGTTTGGATAAAGGATCTCCATATAGTCATTTAACAAATACTTGAAGACCTACTACATGCTGGGCATTTTCCTAGGTGTTGATACAGCAGGAAGTGAGGCAGATATGGCTCCTTCCTGTGAGCTACTTACTGTCTTGAAACATCCCACACGGTTGAAACATTTCTCTCACTTGGCTCTGGGTTTCTCCTGGCTCACAAGCTAGCTATCCCTTCTCTTTGCTGGTTCTTTTTAGGTTCCCTTGCTTTTCTCCCTAACCTCTAAATACCAGAATGCCCGAGGGCTCAGTCTCTGTACATATTCTCCTGTCGGCTTTTCCTCACTCTCTTGGTGATCTCATTCAGGCTCATGACATTAGATTCCATCTGTGAACTCCCAGATCTCTCTCCAGTACTGCAGGCTCGTCTATCCAATTGCCTGCTCATCCTCTCCACTTGGATGTGTTATAGACTCTCAAACAGGATGTGTTCAAAATTCAACTCCCAGACCTCTTCCAAACTTGTCCCTCCCTATTCTTTACCATTTTAGGAAATGGCAGCACCACCTTTTTAGTTGCTCTGACTACAAACCTTGGTGTTCACCGTGACACCTCTCTGCCTCATGCCACACACGAGAGCCGTGGGTGGGCTGTGCTGGCTCCACCACCTTCACAGCACTTCCAGGATTTGGCTGCTTCCGTCACTCACCACTGCCTCCGTAATCCAAACCACTGTCGATCTTGCACCACCTAACAGGTCTCCTAGCTTCTGTCCTTGTCCTCCTATCGTGTTTCCAGCAGTGTTAAGTCTGATCATGTCACTCCTTGATTTTTAAAGCCCTTGATTAGCTCTCATCTTGCTCAGAGTACAATTCAAAGCCTTCACAGTGGCCTACAAGGCCCTGTGTTGTCTGGCCACCCGTTTCTACTCTGACCTCTTCTTCTCCCACCCTTCCCCTTGCTGGTTCCACACCAGCCACACAGGCACCTGACTGTCCTCAAGTATACTGGCCACACCCACTTGAGGATTTTGTACTTGCTCTTCCTTCTGCCCAAGATAACCTGCATGGCTTACTTCTTTTTTTTTTTTGAGACAGAGTCTCACTCTTTTGCCCGGGCTAGAGTGAGTGCCGTGGCGTCAGCCTAGCTCACAGCAACCTCAAACTCCTGGGCTCAAGCAATCCTTCTGCCTCAGCCTCCCGAGTAGCTGGGACTATAGGCATGTGCTACCATGCCCGGCTAATTTTTTTCTATATATTTTTAGTTGTCTGATTAATTTCTTTCTATTTTTAGTAGAGACGGGGTCTCGCTCTTGCTCAGGCTGGTGTGGCTTACTTCTTTTACACCAAACCTTATGATTTTCTAACCATCGCTCATTCTTAGCCCGTTAGGGAATAATCCAGTTTGTTCAGTTGAGTATATATTGCTATATATAAGGTATTTGGTTTTTAACTTTTAAGTGTTAGAGAGCCATGCCATGCTGCGTATGCTGTTAAAGCCAGCTGTGCCTTCTGTAGCCCCATCTGCCTCCCACCATGGCTACGTACAGCCCACTTCCTGGGCTGTTTGAAACAATTGCCAAGCAGCAGAAATTCTTCCGGTCGGTGCTCCTGCTGGTATCCAGTTAGGCAGGAACCAGGGTATGGGCTAATTGCTACTTCAGCTACTTATAGCAGAGCAAGTAGGGTCTAATGGACATTTCGCTCCTAATTCCTAAAGTTTGGCAGCAGTGGAATAGGTATGTGCTAACAGTGAGTTATAAGGCAAAATGTAAATAGGACAGAAAAGTCCAGCGAAACTTATGTCCCTTCCTATTAAAGGAATTTGATCCTAGCAGCGGGAGTCAACAGCTCTTTCTTGCCAAGTTGGTGCACTGCCCCTCTGTATGTATGTCAGTTCATCTACATGTAACTGGAAATGCACATTTCACTTTGAACCTACTCAAAAATGTTTTAGTTCTTTGAGTGTGCTATAATAAAAATAGATTTGTATAGATGGCATTGAATTTTATTATACTTCCCAATGACAATACCAGTTACTAAAAACAGAAATTTTAAAAACTCCATTTGAATACAAGAATACGTTTTATTATCCTTTAATGCAGATAGAAAAATGGTTTTTATGGAATATGTTTAAGAAAGGCCTACAGTTAAAGACCCTGAGAGGCATGAGGCATTCATATTCTTAATAACCACTTAAAGTTTTAGAGCTTGGTGTGTGGATGTGTTGTTTTAATTTGAGGGATGGGAGAGTGGCACTGCTTTTATTTCTGTTACATTCATTTTACATAAGTAATAAAATGTTTCTGGAACGGCTAAAACATTAAGACAACATTAACTTAAGAAATCAAGTTGGTGATTTTTCCCAGCTATTTAAATGGTATTTTGCTCTCTGTCACAAGATATTTAATTACCTTTAAAAACAACAAAGTGGTTAAAATTTTGGTAGACTCCAAAAATACTGATTATATTCAACACAAGGACAATTAGTAGTGTTTTCCTGATTTTATTTCACAGGTGAATATCCAGGTAAGATCAGTGTTTTTGTTTAAGATTGAATCAGTGTTTTTAGACTCACCTGCTTGGACAGGCTTTTGATTTGCTTTAATATTTTATCATGTGCATGAATTGTTAGCTATTTCTGAAATAAACTAATTGCTTACTTTAAAATTGATATTTACTATTAGAAATATTTACATATGTGTTGAGCTTTATTTCTAACTACAGGGTTAATTTGTTTTCTATAAATTGAGCGACTACTAGAATTATATGTAATAACAAATATGACGTTGAATCTTGCTGTTGACAATTATTAAATAGTTTTAACTTTAGATTAAACCAAACCAAAAGATAAATTGTGACTTTAAAATTGTGGCTGGGAATTGGAAGATCGTGTAAAAAAAAAAAAAATTGTAAACTTTCACCTAGTATCTCCTCTTGATAATAACCCAGTAGACGCTCAATCAATGATAGTTACATGTGGTTATGATGAAAAACATGAGATGTAGTATTAGACTAATAATAGAAAACTGTCATGGTAGAAGTTTGCTCAACAAATTTATTTTAAAATCATTTTAGATGTAGGTTTTCTTGATATATTTTTCACTTTTATCATTAAATCTCAACCTTCACTTTGTTTTGAGGGATCCAAGTGAAGGCGAAGCCAGTGGCAGAACCGACACCTCAAGGTGAGGAGCCACTATTAATCCTTCGCTGCTAGGGCCCTGTGTATGAAGCGTACTTTTGACGTACTTATAGCACTTAATAATCATGAATAGAACTAATAACCAGATAGCATGTGTACTTTAAATTTTTATATTGGGGTGGGTTTTCATAATGTTGCCTAGCATTCAGGTTTAAGTTAATGAACTTTAAGTTTGTTTTCCAAACATTATTTTGAATTGTACACTTGGTAGAGAAATAGCCTTTCTGTTGTATAAAATATGTCCTAGCAGAAGAATTAATAGATTAAAATGTACTGATCTTTTTCTCAATAAAATGGTGTAACCGAAATTAGTCTGAGTCAGATAGCACAAATAACACAGAACACTGAGATAATTAAATACGTAGGAAGATTTGATGTTAGTAATATATTTGAGATGAGAATCCCGTGTTGGACCACACTTAAAAATTATCCTGCCATACTTTATGTTGTTTTTTTGTTTTGTTTTGTTGACATTTAGGACTAGTTGTGTATTCATTCTGGTAGTGGGTTTCAAACTGGAGCACACTCAGAATCACAGGGAGGACTTGCTACAAAGATGGCTGGAGCCCACACCCCTGGCTTCTTGTTCAGCTGGTGGGGAGGGGTGGGGGGCCGAACATTTGTGTTTCTAACAAGTTCCCAGGAGACGCTAACGCTGCTGCTCCAGGGACCACGTTATGGACGCGTTAGTACTTGGGTTCACATTTTATAAATGGGAAATTTAAGAAATGAAGGCATTAAATTATCTTGAGTGTAACACAGGCATTAAAGGATGCCATATAAATTTTAGAACCAACAAGTAATGCCACAGTAGGATAGAGGTCTGGCTTCATTCAAGAGCTATTTTGACCGGCTGAACGAACACAAGCCTCTAATTTAATTTTTACTTTTTAAATTATTCAAAATATAATGAACTTTGGAAAAACTTTAAGCATTGCTCTGTAGTCTTTTTTACGAACTGTGCTATATTTATGTTTACTAATAATAGTTGCAGTGTTTCTTTATAGAGTTAGGTACCTGAGTCACCATGGTAGGAAGCCAAAGGGAGGCAAGACAAATATTTTTAACTTTCTTCTGCCTTTTAAATAAACATGGGAGACTTTTTTAGTCCCTCCCCCACTTAGTCTTCACTTTTGAGCCTCCTCCTTGCATCTCATCCTGTCTTTCCACTAAATTTTCCTCTAAGACATTTAATAGTATGTAGTGTCACAAGTGGCCACTAATATTGAAATTAATCTGCATGCATTTTTATCCTTTTAATATGACTACGTAATTTTATTAACATAAGAATTTAGTAACTGATCTTTTATAAATGTTTACAGAGCATTTTTTACTTTCCCTTTGGTGGTTGTTGGCTCTTGTTTTCTTTTTTACTTTTGAAGAAAGGCTTATTGAATACAAACTGCAAGGTACTTGATGGTCATTTAATCTTCACAACGAGGTGGAAAATACCCATTTTACAGATGACGAA